AAAATATGTGATGGTTTCTTTAAGGTTAATATGTTGAATATTATAAATGAAAAAGTGATAGATACTAGTGCTACTAAAAAGATGGTTTTGAGTGTACTCTTAAATATAGGAAATGAAAGAAGTTGTTTATCCTTAGGAGTTGTGTTGAAATCTTTTTGTGAAAAATTTGATATAATTTTCCTGATCTTAGGAAAAATTGAAAAGTTCTAATAATTTTTTTTATAATATTCATAATTTTCTAAACATTTATTATGAAGAATTAGGAAAACCAAAATTCCTTTTGAATGAGAAAAAAAATCATAAATGACTACTAATGATATATAAGAAATTCCATAATCGTTTGAGATTATGCATATTATTCTTATTGATTAGTAACTTCTCAAAATTTTGAGAATATAATCATGTATAAACAAGATTTGTGTTTGTTAAAGCATAGTATTATGGTTAAAATTAATAACAAACTTTCCTCTATTATGATTGTGTGTATATGTAAGAGAATTTGTTTACACATTGTTCAAGACATTTTGTATTTATTTTTATCCTAAAATGTTAGAAATGTAGGGTGTCTTAAATGATGATCAAAGTGAAAGAAGAACCTAGTTGATCCACTTAGCAAAGGTTAAAGTCGGAAATGGTTCTTGATTCGTCGATTGGGATGGGTCTAAAGCCAATTGGTTGAGGAATTCATGGTGGATAACCAACTTAGTTATCTAAGTTCAATGTGGTCAAATGAAGTCATGAAAAGACTCATAGTGTACATTTCTACCTACTTATCCCTATGACGAATAATGTACATGCACATGATGAGCTTAATTGCTCTTAATAAATTCATAGTTCAGACTTTGGGTGGTCTTAGTGAGAAAGACTTGATGAATTTACCCATTTTTGGTTGAATATCTATTCTAAATAAGTTCATAACCCATTGTTGAGTGGACAGTCCTAATCGTGGAGGACTAGATGAACTTACCACTAGAGAGGATGAGTTTTCTTAAAACTTTTAATGAATTCAAACCCGAGTTTGGGAATTCCTAGCTATAAGGACATATTGAATTTACCGATTAATAAGGTTGAATATTTATTCTTAATGATTCCTTATCCAGAGTTTGTGTGGTTCATTTAAAGCTAAACTTGAAGAAATTCACCATAAATATTGTGAGGATGGGCTATTGAAAAAGCTCTTTAATTATTTTTAGTCCAGTTTGAGTGATTTATATTGAGATAAACTTGATGAGATAACATATGTAAGTGAGAAGGATTAGCCACCTTCCATGAAAAACATTGGACCGTTTTTCTAATACACTTAATGGAATCCTATGGAAAGATTATTATATATATACATTCGTATATATACTTTGTAGAAACATCGAGGATTTATGTGGATGAAGGGGATAGTTGAGTGTTATGAGTTCACTCTAATCTTAGAGAGTTCAAGATTCGTTCAGTTATCTAAGAGAAGAATTACTCATCATAACTATGTACTAATTCCATATACGTTCATTAATCGCATTATTGCTCTCTTGAGTTTTAACGTCATTGCTCATTGTACGAAATACTTTTTCGCATTAGTGGCGGAATATTGGAGTTAATAGATGAGTGGTACCACCAGAGTCCACTCCATCTTTCGTGTGTACGAAATTTGGAGAGTTGTTCTAACCTGTTGGGGCTATTCGTCAATTGTAGTGATTACACACATCAGTGCGAATTCGCTTCTAAGGTAATGGTTAATACCACGACACGATTAATCAATTCTTTTTAAATATTTATTTAATATTTACAATCAGTGTTAACACATCGTTTTAATATTTACAATCAGTGTTAACACATCGTTTTGCTGTAGTCTATTTTCTAACAACTAAAACCTTAGGGATGATGATTAATGAGAGACTTTTTCCCTTTCTATTCTTTTGTTTAAGATTTTTAAAATTAATGAAGCCACTTATAATTATTTATTACTTGACTTTTTAAAAATTAATGATCAAATCAATCAAAAAATAGTTGATTCCCAAATATGTAAGATATTCCTTTTTGTATAAACTACATTGATTGTCATTGAGTGTTTAGATTATTTTTACTTTAGTTATTGATCTTTTAAAAATTACATTATAATCACTAAACTTTTAATCATTTTATTACAATCATTGTCGTTAACTGATGTTGAAAAAGCTTATTTGACATTAAAACCGCTAAAAGAACCTTAAGCTTCTTCTTTCAAATTGACAATTTTCGCCACTCTTTTCGAGATTGTTTGACAACATTTTTCTGCTCATTGTTCACAACAACCAACATCAATAGCAGCATACAATAAACAATAATAAAACAAGCAAATAAGTAAAGAAAAGGAAAGAGAAAAGGAAAACTATCTGACTCAGCTTTAAGGAGTTTCTAATGAACATAGTGATCACCGATCAATTTCAGTAATGGAAAGATTTTTTTAATAAAGTTCATTTTAAAGCTGATATGTCTATTAACAGTAATAAATCATAAAGTTTTAGCTTTAAAATTTGATTGGATTTGCGGATATTAAAATATTTCAATAAGGTTGAATTGAAGAAAAGAAAGAGAATAAGAAAGATAGTTGTTCAATGATATTTTTGAACAAAGAAACCACTGCATGATTGTAGAAACAACAATGAAAAGTGGAACGATTGCCGATTTGAAAGAAGTTTATGGTCTTTTAGGGTTTTTTTAAGTGTCATGTCTTTTTTCTTCTTCTTAACGATAGATAATGAAGTAGTCATGAATTAAAAGTTTAGTGATTATAATATAAGTTATAAAAGTTCAACGATCACGGTGAGAGTACTCTATGCGTTTAATGACATCAATGTAGTTTACCTATTTTTTAATGACTTGACATTAAATTGGTAAAACCAATTTGAAATTACTGCCGGTAATAGTTCATATTAAAGATTGTATTCTTCTTGCTACTTTTGTGAGACTGCTATTTCCAAATATATAGTCCATTTGGGATTCTAAATGCCCAATTTTTGGTATTTAAAGGACGGATTTTATCTTAATCTCCACCCATTTCTAACCCGTCTTTCGCTTGATGCCCTTAAGATACGGACTCCTTACCTACAAGTACACAACCCATCAGTGTTATGAATTGAGTGCCAATATCGATATACTAAAGGGTAAACCACATAAATAGTAGATGATGTTTGAGTAAGTTTTAGTTTTACCTACTAAAGTTTCAAAAGTTACAAATTAGTCACTAATATTATCTATTTGTAACAAAATGGTCACTGATATTATCTATTTGTAACAAAATCATCACTCTCGTTGACGTGAGTGACAGAAAGCTGAGCCAGACCGTTAAACGTTTACCTAGAACACCGAATGCCACGCTGGAGAATCGTTGGAGTCCCTGTTGACCGGCACTTTGCATATATGCATCTCGATCGCAACTGCAACTTCAGGAGTAGCTGTGGCTTCACTTATCTGTTGCTCCTCGGTTTCTTTAATCATCCTTTCGACGTTGCAGATCTGCTTCTCGATTGCAACTTTCTCTTCATTCTCGCCGGTCTCCTCCATATTTTGTCTTGACGTCGAAATGCAGTATTTCCTTCTCGATCCTTATGGAATTAGACCGTTTCCACAAACTTAAACTTGAATGCAATCTTTCCTTCTTTTTCTTCAAATTCCTTGAAAAAAAATACTACAAAAAAGTGAGCAGAAATTTATGATACAAAAAGGATGAGGGTTTAAATTTAGAGAGTAATGTGACAGTGGCATCCTGCATTTGAAAAGCTTTTGAGAATCTGCAATGAGGCATGTAATGAGATTGTGTGATTCAAAGCTTGGATTTTGAATACTTCACTGCCTTAATAGCAAAGGAAACGATTTGAATATTGTAAGGAAGAAGCCCTGAAATTAACCATATCCCTAATTAGTTGATTATTAATTCTTAATTAAAAATCTTCTTCAATTTTCTTCTTTTTTCTTGGGGTTTTACAGATCTAAAAAGAGGGGGGGGGACATGAAAGGCACATCAAAACACCAAGAACTAACAAAAACAAAACGTTATGTGTACCTTAAACTTTGTTGAAATGAGTGTAAAATAACCATAAAGTTTATAATTAATAACTGTTTATTTTTAATTGAAAAAAATAGAAATCTCCTCATCGGTGCTACCTTTAAAAATGATCGAATTTGATCAAAATGGTTATATTTTTAAAGTTCAATTCAACCATATGAGATGCTTGTATGGCATATGTATCTAAAAATTCCACCGTTAAGAGGAAAGTTCAAAAAAAATAACCAATAACGTGATAAAAGAATTCTCTATAAAACTGTCATTGAAACCCCTTCTTTATGCAAATTTACACTTATTTAGCTATACTGAGTTTGAGCTTCTCTCCCATGGAGATAACTAAGAAGAAGCATTTTTATGCTAAATGCTGTAATTCTTTCCACTGTTGATGGTATAAGCCAATACAAATATAATTGGTTTTCCTTGTTACTTCCAAATTCTAATAAATACGAATGTCCTTGACTACTTGTTTATCTCAAAAGATGTCAAGTAAAAGAATGGCTCTCAAGTGACGAAAAAGAGTTTCATTCCACAACAATTCACCAGAGATCGAATTTGGTTGAGAGGAGATTGAATCATCCGTTGAGTCCAATTAGTTTATGATCCCATTCTTTCCTCGAGTTCAAAATTTTCAAACTAGAGTCGTGTTTTAACTTTTAATATCACGTTCAAGTCAAATTTTATAATTTTAAGCTTCAACTTTCAAGTCTAGTCGAACTCAACTTTGAACTTTTCAAGTTGAGTCAAACTCGACTCGTTCGGGAGTCAAGTCGAATGCAACTTTGAACTTTTCGAGTTAAGCTCAACTCGTTTACAACACTAAAAAAGTGAGTCAAGTTAAGCTGACTCGCTTACGGCGCTAGAAAAGGGAGAGTGCTTCGATACAAAACTTCTAAGCCAAGTTATAATGGTCCCTCAAATTGGAAGAGGCAAAGGCAATCTTGAAAAATGAAGTTATTAACTCCAGAAATCCTCAATACAACGTTAGGGGAAGCACCACCTATCACACAACGTGAACATTATTAGCATTCAGCAAGAAAAACTGCTGTGCTGTTATCATTATAAAATTTGGGTTCAATTCCCCCACACCAATGTTGTGGTGAAAACATTCATCAGCTCATTATCTGAACATTTTGCTTTTATAATTTTTCGCTACAAAAAATAATCTGGGTGAATGACAACTCCCACAATGGTTCGGGGGAAAAAACATATCAAAATTTAAAATTACGGAATGAGATCTTCACAGTCAAGGCTTGAGAGCAAGGGCAAGCCCCATCTTAGGGGATGCCTTCCTGGCCTTCGAATCATACTCTGCCGAAAACGTTACTAGTGACTTCGGCCTCCATTCACGTTGGCAGAGCATTGCAACCTTCCCATTGTCAGAGAACCTCGTTTTTACCACTGTAAAAGGGTCCACAGCATGAAAACTTCCAATGGTGAAAGTGTTCTCATAGGTAGAAAATCTATGAGCCATTTCAGCAGCAACAGAAGTGAAGGGATTGACAGAATGGATATATGATGCCTTCAATGCCTGTCCTTTATCAGTCCTAAAAAGAGAAAACATGCATTCAAAAATTTAAGGCAAGGCCTTATTGACAGAGAAAGAACATAAAATAACACGGAGCATAAAATGTTGACAACTAATAGAATAAGCCATATTAAGTCGACTAACAGGATGAGCATAAAATGTTTCATCATAGTCCAAGGAAATGGAGTTTTTAAACTTTCTGGGGTGAACTAATTATTTAATTTATCCCGATGGTTCTCGTGCATCTTAAAATCTCCCCAAACTGCTTAACATTCTTTGGTTTTGCCTCTTTTAAATGGTCAACCTTACACGCCATCTTGAAATAATATCAAATGAATCAAACTATGGTTTACCATAATAAAGATTGTTAAATCTATAGATGATAATAATGATTGTTATATCTTTACACCCTTCTCAAAATTCAATTAAATACACCAAATATCAATACTGATATAGCACATTATCTACAGCTATTTCTATATGATGCAGAAAATAGAACAATAACAAGAAAGATCAACTTCAAAGGCATCTAAAATGGCATGGTGGAACTCACTAAGTTTCAAAGCTCCATTCGAATCATTAAGCTTCAATTTATAAACACTAGGTCACTGAAATTCTCAATATGCAAGGAATAACATCACTCTGGCATTACAAAGAAAAACATAGCTGATATGGCAGGCACATCAGAAGCATTCAACTCAATGCCAATGAGTAGTACTATGCTATTCTTTCCGTTCCTTTTTTTCAGCTATCAATCAATGCATATCAGTCCCAGTTACAAGTGGATCCTACATGCAAACTCATGTGATAATTGAAATTTGATTTTCAGAAGCCAAAACATAATGGAAATAGGATCACCCTTTCTTTCATACTAATCAGTGTCCCTTACTCTAGCAGCCCTTTAACTAACTGCGCCCCCCCCCCCCATAATTCTTGGTCAACTCTCTCTCTCTCTAACACCCCCAAATCTATACAGATCACAGAAGCTTAGCTAAAAATATGCATGTGAAGTAGACATTTTGCTCAATTGCTTGTGATTCTTTGAAACAGTTTGCAATGATAACTGGAAGTGTATGAGTTAGCAGACTAAATCTCATTTAGTTTGACCAAAGTGGGCAGAAACTGAAAGAGGGAGTGGGGCCCTTTCAGAATCAGACAAGAAACAAAATTTTGCCTAAAAGAGTTATGAGACAAACAATTTAACTGTCACTATTTACTGAAAGATAAGAGAAAAAACTGGGTTTCATGACATACAAAGTTTGCAGAGCCTGTTGGTAGAAATCGAAGTTTACAGATCAAGAATAATTTTTGAAGAGCCCAATGACTATCGGTAGATTACCAAAATCTAAAGTAATTAAGGCTTACCCAAAAACTTTTTATTAATGGCTAGGATCATATTACATGCAAACAAAATTTAGTATCAATCTTAATCCAACTTTAGATTCTGTAAAATGTTAACAAGATGTTATTAACTGCTCATGATGCAGCACTTGTCAACCCAACTGAAGCATGAAGGTGTTAGCATAAAAAATAAACACTAGATGTACACCTAAAATGAATAAATATCTCATAAGGTAGATGATCTTGAAATACTTACAGCAAAAGAGCAGCAGAAAAATCTAGCTTGTTCAAGTTAATCCCAGCAGTGTACTTGGTAAAAGAAGCAGAAGCTGTATCAAATCCAACTTCACCACCCAAATAAAGCTCGTTGCTGCCAATTGTTGCTGAAAGCTCCAATAGGGGAGATGGATTTAGGCCAATGCTAGAATCAATGGCAGCATGAGGATGAAGATATTGGACATCCAACTGAGATATTAAGCATATAGAAAGTAAAAGATTCAGTTTCTCAAACATAAAATTGTATTACCAACACTTGAAGATATTGCTAGTTTGCTGCCATTTCGGTAATATAATTTCCTACCGAAGTGACTGTCAATGATCTTTCTTTTGAGTCAACAAGAAAATTGGAGTGTAATTTTCCACCAAACTGATTTACATTCACAAATTAAGAATTTTCCAGATAAAATGAGACAGAGAAAGTAGAACTAGGTACCTTGCATGAAAAGAAGCCACAATAAAACAGCAACCATATCTACTATATCCTTGGTAAATATGTACAAAGGAAGAGAATAGGAATGATAGACAGCGTAAACACAACCCGCAGAACATGAAAAGTGCATGGCTAGCAAACTAATAATGATAATTAATAATAATACGGGGAATAGTTGGTTACTATGAGAAATTAAGACTGTCATTTTACATTTATACCATTAACATTCATGCACTGACCTTCCCGGACTTGTGATCAGGTATCCTAAAACTTAGAGCAGCTTTGGAACATGGCCAGACATCATTGACAGTCACTTTTGTGGACACCTGCCCGGAAAAAAAAATAATGAGGAAAAGGGCAAAGATATTGGGATTACACAATCAGGATTTAACAACCTCCAAATACAAAAAGTTGGTACATTAAACTGAATCACAAATATGGAGAAATCACAAACAAAAAATTGGAAACAAAAAATTCTATACATTAGAATAGGTATCAACTTTCACATCCACAGTAGTATTTCTACTCTTATACACGGTATTTATGTCTCCAAAAAAATTTTGATCCTTCTGGAGCCCTGTGGCTGTAAGTCCCTGCAAAACATTTTAAGAATGACATTAGATGACATAACAATCAAATTTAAGTACAGATCAGAATAATATTTTAGAAACCAAATGACTTATCATAGCTCTTCTCATTTTTAAGAAAAGTTATTACCCGTACATTTTTTGACAATTTTAGAATCTATTGATGATAAAAGTGAATAAGATGTCAAAATCTTGAAATTAAATATTTTTTTGCCATCTTCAAGTTCTCTTAGGCTACTTATACAATCATTCAAATAAATAGGTATTTAATTCTTTTAGGCCTCCCAATTTGACCCCATCTTCCTTCCATGTCTCCTGCTCTCCCTGGTTCTCCAACTTCGTTTTATTCTAAGCAATCATATCATATGTTCAACACATACTTTTCTAAACATCTTCCTACCATTTGGAGGCAGAAAACCATACCTGTATTTGTCGAATGTGAGACGTAAATTAATAGCAATGAATAGAAAACATGACCGGATGTCAAACCAGTGAGACCTCAGAGTCACCGGTTCAACAGAATCGTTAAATAAAATAATATATTAGCTGTTAAACATTAGGTATAATATTTTGATACAAAATAAGCATTAAATAAGGTAATTAGATAATAAAAATATGCATTTGGTTTTGTGGTATGGTCTTTAATACATAATCGCAAAGGGTTAAAAGTTCAAATACCAACACATGCAAAAAAGTAATAAATAAATAATAATAAAAAGATTCCAAGATAATCCTGTTTAGCTAATTTTTTTACCAGTATAACCGATTTTCTACTAGTTCACCAAAGGTTCAGAGTTCTTATATGTACCAGAATGGACAGAGCACTGGTTCCCAGTTGACCAGTCCAGTCCAGCCATTTAACACTGGTGAGTACTAAAGGGAAAATGAAAGGTAATGTAATACAAGGAAGAGTATATATGACTAATTCAGCTCATATTGGAAGAAAGCAAACAGAAAGTTGAGGGATTGAAAGAAAGGAAATTGAAAGACAGAACATAGGTCGTTTTTGTTACTACAGCCACAAAAATCTTTAAGTCTGTAATCATCCATTTCAAATAAAATTTTGGCAACCCATGGCCACATAATGTCATAATTACCAGTTTCATCCAGTTTAACACTAGAAATCACTGACAGACAATTTTTAATAATTATGAAATTTGGGGCATCCTGTGTGGATTCTTACAGGTATACATGCACAATGGGAAAAAAACAAGGGAGTAGAAAAAAGAAAGATCAATAAGTTGTTTTTCCCCAACATGAATTCTTTCTGAGAATAAGTTGTTTTTCCCCTACATCTAAAATATAGATTGCACAAACAATTTCTTTCAGTAATTTGCGGCAGAAGATTGCTTAAGAGAAAGGAATTAATATCAAAGACCAAACGAACCATCCTATGAGCATTATGTTCATATGTGAAAACCTAACAGATACTCATTCTGCTAACATATAATAACAAAATTACCCCCAATGTTTGTGCAAATGGTCACTTTGTCCCCTATCCCATTTTTTTGGAGTATTTTATCCCCAACGTTTCATTTTGGAGCAAAAACTCCTCTAGTAGGATGAAAATTGTTAGTTGACTAACTGTCAATGTTCCATACGGATGTGGCAAGTCCACGTGTGATGCCACTTCAGCAAAAAAATAATTCTAGAGTAAACTATAATTATAATTAATTACATATAAACTTATAAAGTTTTATTTTAAAATAGCTTAAAAATATTTTTGATGATGTGGCATCACATGTGGACCTGCCACACCCATAAGAAACGTTGACCGTTAATCAACTAACGATTTCCATACACCAGGGAGCATTTTGCTCCATAATAAAATGTTGGGGCTAAAATGCTCCCAAAAAAAGGATAGGGGTCAAAGTGACCATTTGTGCAAATGTTGGAGGTAATTTTGTAATTATGCCTTTTGCTAATATAAAAACTATTCTCACACCATAGCACCAATGGCAAATAAAATCAAGGCAAAGCAAAATTTAAGTTTTCAACTACTTAATCAAGCTCTGACCAAAAATTACAATCAAGAAGCTCAATAAAAAGGGTCAACAAGTTCTATAGAGAAAACACTACCATTCCAGTGGAGCTCAGCATTGAAAGAGTAAACTTCTGGTCAAAGTAGTAATCTTTTGTCAGGAGGTCTGCAAAACATGATAAGAAATTATTAGAATCTATGAAAGCTAAATGCAAAATATAAGTGGGTTTTGAAGTCCCTGTTGTGTAACATGACAGACTAACAAACAAATGCAGTAGGTATTGATTAACAGTCATTAAAAGTTACAAATAGCGAGAGAAGTCCTAATAAAAAATGTAAGACCAATCTATAAGATAAATTTATCTTATTGAGCATATGGTACAACTGTTAATTCTCACTCCTCAGTGTACTAGCATAAAACTAACTACTTGTTTTGGTTATCTATCACATACATAGCTGCATTAGTATTTCCACTTCCTCTTCTAACCCATTACCAAGCCTCTGAAAAGCTGCTTATCAGTTAGAGTTGCCAATAAACAGTAATTTCTGGTAACACCAAGACAAGTGCAAGCATATCAAACAATATCTATACATACAATACCAAACAAGAAAAAGTAAATGCTAATGCAATTCATACCTTTGGCTTTTTTGCCTATTTCTACAAACGGTGCTGGTCCAACCATCTTGACAGAAGGAATATCAACCAAAGCCTGGAAATACCATAAAGATAACATCACCACTTCAGCACAGGAAAATCATACAGCAACTGCATATGGGAAGACAATAAAGCATTTCCTAGTTCGAAATTCATTTCACATATCCGTGAATAGTCCGAACATTTTCGTATCATTCTTTATTTATAATTTATTCAGGAGCGAAATGCTGTAAAAATTAAAGAGAAATCAAACATTTAAAAAAACGACGAGACATGGCTTTTATGAATAAAAGATACGAATTATAAGGCGAGAAAATAAGATTCCGATTAGTATTCTCAACTAGATTTAGTTCAATACTATAATGATTAAAACGATAAGTTCAAAAATCGGAAAGGAAGAAAGAGCTTACAACGGAGATTGAGAAGAGAAGGGAGGGTGAACGATGAAACCGTGCAGCGGCAGCCACCAACACCCTTCAGAGGAAGCTATTAGTTTGTTTAATTGAAAAGCCCAAGGTCGAAAGCGTGCACATTCTCGACGGCCAAGTTTTTAGATCAGTTCTTAACGAGCGTGATGCACTGTTGATTTGATAGGCCTACCCAGGTTTACATGTGATGGGCCTGTCACCCCTGCTTTTGATTTTTCCCAATGGAGCAAATATTTTAATTAATTAGTCCAACAGGGTGTGCTAAAGTTTATTTTGAGATTTACCGTATTTGTTATAATATTCTTAGAATTTATTATGTTGAGGTGACGAATTTCAATAGAAATTATTTTTTAATTGGTGTATTAATATTTAATTATTTTGTTTGAAACTCGTTTCTTTGACGTGGCATTGTTTTATTAAAATAATATTTTTTTCTATTATGGAGTTTTTTTAAGTAAAAAAGGAACACTTCATGCTAAGGTGACGAGTTTCATCTACCATACTGATGTTTTATTTAGTTTGAAATATTAAATGTTTTGAGGTTTTATTTAGTTCAAAGTATTAAATGGTGTGATTAGACACTAAAATAGATTTTGCAATAGATAAGAAGAACATTACATTAAGAAGATAAAAACAACAAAATTAACATATTATGTTAACGGCATAAATATAACAAACCTTACACACACCTTAAATAGTAAAATAAAATCATAAACATGCAACTATTCTTTATGATGTTTTAATCCTCGTAATAAATAGACTCGTCCAAAGTAATATTAAGTTCTTCAATTTGCCATGTTTTTCTTGTTTGTTTTCACGTACAAATTGGAACCATGGTTTCAAGTCTCCATCATCTACCTCTGTTTCTTCATCATTATTCTTAATTGGTTGGATATTTGAGCTGGAAGCAACATCCTTAACCATACGAGCAATGTCTAATGTTATATCAAAAAATAATTCAAAGTCCATTTAACTAGAAATTGAGCACAAAATGTTTTTCTGGACAAGTAGTACAGATATTGTTCTTACAGTATTGATACCTCATGAACATTACTGATATTGTTCATATGGTACTGATACCAAGGTAAGGGAAGTATCGATACTCACTAGGTAGTATCGATACTACCAACATTGCTCAAATTCCAAAATGAAAAAATGGTATCGATATCTAAAGGGTACCGATACTACTTTGCATAGTAGTATCGATACCATAGGCATAGAATCGATACCATCAGGCCCCAACGGCTAGTAACAACTAGTTGATTTAAAAATAACAAATGTAGTACCGATACTCCCTTTAGAAATAACGATACCCTATGTTCTGGGCAGTTTTATTTTGCAGAGATTTCATCCCCAAACGGCTAGAAATCTTCCACAATGGCTAGAAACGGTCACAACTTCATTTCAACATATAAATACAAGTTCAAGACACTTGAAGAAGGGTTAGAACACATATCCAAGCATTCAAACACAAGAGAAGAGTTCTTCTAATCTTATTTTATCTCTCTTGTAAATATTAGTGTTTTAATGAGCTAAATTTGTAAACATCATACATTTGAGAGGTTTTATTGTTTACTTCTTTTTACCTTTTGTAAAAGGGATTGGTTCTAGTTTAGTCAAGTGAAAAACTAGAGAGTGTAAACGTTATCTCTTGAACATTGAAAAAGAAAGAACAAATTAGTGAATTTGTTGGAAAATCCTAAGTGATTAGCTTAGGTAGTGGAAGTAGATTTGGTTGATAAGTCGAACCATTATAAATGCTTGTGCCAAATTTCTCTATATTTCACTCTCCTTACTCCCTAATCAAATTATTGCCAATTCACCCTCTTGCAACTTTTTCGGTTGTTAATTCGAGCTTCTGTAAATCTTAATAATTGGTATCAGAGCTTGACTCGTTAGAAGGCTTCACATCCTTGAGACGATCCTCGAAGAAGCTCTACCAATTCCTGACGCAACCGACAAAGAGATGGTTTTAATATCCGGTGCTTATTACATGGAAGATTCTCAACCGGTTAATAACCCACCCTACTGCAATGGAGCAAATTATTCATATTGAAAGAATAGGATGATGCTTTTCATTCAAGCCAACGATCTAGGAGCTTGGAACTCAATCATGAAAGATTACTCTACTGTACCTGGTGAGATGAACGATTTGAGTGATGGAGAGAAGAAAAAGTTTTAGCTCAATGTTAAGGCTATGCACATCATCTTTTGTGCATTAGGCCCGAATGAATATGGATGAGTCTCATCTTATTCTAATGCCAAGAAGATATGAGATAAGCTCTAAGTCACTCATAAAGGAACCGATGAAGTGAGGAAACCAATATAATTCTTCTCAACCATAGCTATGAGAATTTCAAGATGAAACCCGATGAAGACATCAAAGCCATGATGAATAGATTCTTCGTGATTGTCAATGGTCTAAAGGGATTTGGAGAAGTAATCTCTAATGAGAAGCTTGTGAGGAAGATAATATACTCTCTTCCAAAGTCTTGGTAATCGAAGAATACGACGATTATCGAAGCTAAAAACCTAAAGTCTCTCACTCTTGACCAGCTGATTGGTTCTCTTCTCACTCATGAGTTGACGGTGAAAAAAGAGAAAGAAGATGAAGAGAAGTAAAACAAGAAGAAGAATGAGGTAGGCATTGCCTTCAAGTCCACCAATGAGAGTTATCAAGATTCAAATGAAGAGGTGGATGAAGACGATGATGAAGAAGAAGAGATGGCCAAACTTTTCAAAAAGTTTAAGAGATTCATCACTTTCAAGGAGGTGAAGCATGAATCGAACAAGAAGAAGAGTCCCTCGGTGTGCTTCAATTGTCAAAAAAAGGGGCATGTCAAGTATGAATGCCATCTTCTAAAGAAGAAGGGATCAAGCAAGAAAAAAAACATTTGTGGCAGCTTGGAGTGATAAAGATGACTCCAATGATGAAGATGAAGTAGCCAACCTATGTCTCATGGCCATCAAAGAAGATTAAACAGTATCTTCTAACTCAAATGATTTAAATTCATATTCTTTTGATGAGTTACAAGATGCTTATAATGAGTTGTATTTGGAATTTGAGACCATGAATTTAAAATATAAGAAATTAATTTCAAAACTTAAAGTTGAAAATGATTTGGTTTTGAAAGAAAAATTTGATTTTGAAAAACAAAATGAAATTTTGAAAAATGATTTAGAACTTTCAAAAGTCAAAATCAATAATTTAAAAAAGGAAATTTTGATTTAAAAGTTAAGCTTGAGAGCTTAACAAAAGAAAAAGAATTAATTTCTAAAACAACTCATTATGTTTAAAAATGACAAAATGCTCACATTGCCATTTTTATGGTCATTTGGATCATACTTGTCCCATAAAGAAAAGAAAATCTTTTAAAATTAGACTAGTGTGGGTTTCTAAGGGAACAAGGGGCATTGAAACTAACTTCCAATGATCCAAAGCAATTTGGATACCGAAATCCAAATAAATGTCTCTTGTAGGTTTGTGGGAGCAATGATGATGAAAGTGATGATATTCAAATGCTCTAGCCACACTTGAAAAAGGAATGGGTAACCTCTAAGCCTAATGCTTTTATTTTGGTTATTTGGCTGCTCATTTAGTTTATGCATGCATGAGTTTTAATTTTAAATGATTATGCATTGTTTTTAATCTCATGTATGTTGAAAAATTCTTTATAATGAACATTTTAAAGTTTTAATGATTTTTCATAATTTTTAGTTCATCATAATGAATGTTGGTTAAAATTAATTTTCAATGCAAATGATATCTCTCTAACAATTGATATCAAATTTTTCAAATGCTTTGATTTTACAAATTTTAAATTTTTGACCTTAAATTTAAATGTTTATGCATTTTTTTAAATGCAAAAGGTATCTTTCGAATAATTGATATCAAATTCTTCAAATGCATAACATTTTTGAAATCTTGATGCACATTTACTTAATTTCAATAATTGGTATTGCATAAAGTATTTTAGACTTGGATATATTGAATTTCATGTGTAGCTAACATGTTTGTTACTATTTGTTGAAATTCAATTTTATTTAAGTATCAAGCTTTTAAAGTCAAATTTTGTTTGGAATGCACTTTTTGAGGGGGAACTTTGATTTTTCAAATGTTTTTAATGTTAATTTACCATTTACTCTCCAATGTTATTTTTGAACTTTAAAGTTGAATTATTTTTTATATAACAAAAAGGGGGAGAAGTATGGTTTAAAAAATTCAATTTCTTAATGAAAAAGGAGGAGTTGAACATTTTCATATATTTTCCAACAATCGGTATCTTTTTCATTAAATATTTTATTAAGGGGAGTTTTGCCAGAAAACAATTTTTCAAATGTTTTGTTTTATCAAAAAGGGGGAGATTGTTGATGTATATTTTGATATAATAATTAAGGCAAAATGTTTTTGGACTTGAATTGAATTTATTTAAAGTTTTTCAAAGTTTTCAAAAAATAATTCAAAGTTCATTTAACTAGGAATTGAGCACAAAATGTTTTTATGGATAAGTAGTACCGATATTGTTCATATGGTATCGATACCAAGGTAAGGGAAGTATCGATACTACCAACATTGCTCAAATTCCATAATGTAAAAAATGGTAGCGATACCCAAATGTGTACCGATACTACTTTGTATAGTAGTATTGATACCATAGTCGTAGTATATATATCATCAGGCCGCAATGGCTAGTAACAGCTAGTTAATTTAAAAATAACAAAGGTTGTACCAATACTCCCTTTAAGAGTACTGATATCCTTTGTATTGGGTAGCTTTATTTTGCAGAGTTTTCATCCCCAAACAGTTAGAAATCATCTCCAACTGCTAGAAACGGCCACAACTTCATTACAACATATAAATACAAGTTCAAGACGCTTGAAGAAGGGTTAGAACACCTATCCAAACATTCAAACACAAGAAAAGAGTTATTCCAATCTTATTTTATCTCTCTTGTAAATATTAGTGTTTTAGTGAGCTAAATTTGTAACACCCTACCTTTGAGAGATTTTATTGTTTACTTCTTTTTACCTTTTGTAAAGGGGATTGGTTCTAGTTTAGCCAAGTGAAAA